CTGTGGGGAGGGCAGGCCGCGTGTTGTTGGAAGAAGGGAGCGGAGGGGCGCCCCGCCCCGCGCCCCAACTTGCTTTCTACCTCGCCCGGCACCCGCCTGCCTGCCTCAGGTCCAGGAGAGCTCCCTGGGGCCTGCCCAGCCCCCAGACCGAGTCCAGGCCGGAGGAGGTACCGCCCTGCGGGCCGTCTCTCCCACACCCTGGGCCGAGCCTCACAGACAGAAGCAAGAGCAGCACAGAGGTCCCCGTGCAGGCTACGGCTCGTGTCCCAAGCAGTTCCTGGTCCCCAGGCTCAGTCCACAGGATAATTCGCCCAAGACCCCCCACGACGGGGCAGATGGAGGCCCTCAGTCCCGTCTTCACCGCAGGGGCTGGAGACCATCCCCGGGGACCCTCCTCTCTCTCTCTCCGTCTCTCTTTCAACTCTTGCCCCCCCTGTCCCCGCTCTGCTCTGGTCAGCGGATGGGTCACAGGGGAGGGACGCGGAGCAAGCCGGACAGAGGTGGGTGAGGATGGATGCGGGCCCTCTACAGCGTGATGCTGCATGGGGGTCCCCTGTGCACTGAGCCATGCTGGGCGGCACCCCGGCTCTGCCCGCCCCACCCGGCTGCACCCCACTCTCAGCTGTGACCGTGGAACCTGTCTCGGGACATGCAGTGTGCGCTGGGGCACAATCGCCCTGAGAACCACTGGTCTCCAGCACGGCAACAAAGGCACAGAGAGGCCACGGAGTGATCGCCAACCAGGGCTCCCGACCGCCCGGGGGTGCCGGGGGTGCCGGGGGTGCCCGGGGCTGCCTCATGTCTACACTCGCAGGGAGTAAAGACTTAGCGGCAGCCACGCCTGTCACACCCCGTGTGGCTCAGGCTCCTGCCTGCGGTCTCCCACCCTGACTTCTGCCCTGGGGGCTCCTTACTGCCTGGCAGGAGGTGGACACGTCCCCGCCGACAGAGAGAAAGCCGAGGCCCAGTGAGTGTTGAGGTCTCACATCTGCCCCCCAGTCCCTAGACTACAGATCACTCTCATCCAAAGCACTGACACGGAGAAGAAATTCACAGATTTAAAGCACCGATTTAGAGCTAACAGAAAACCAGGCGTTATTCTGATGAAATGAGCACCTTATCACCACACACACATGCGAGGGTAACCAGCTGACTTTCTGGGGGGCTCACCTCCCCCGTGGTCCCAGCGGTGAGCTGTGGTTTGCTCTTAGGTGGAGGGAGAGTCTGAGGCACAGTGAACCGAGACACCAATGTCCCAGCCAGGGGGAACCCGGCCTCCACCTGGCTTTGCTCAGACAGAGGAGGCATGTACCCCAAATGCAGAGGTGACCCCAGCACTCACACTCGGAAGGACTCTGAAGCGCCCCCGTTCCCGACCGGGCTCAGACTTTGGGTGCAGGTGCGTTGGCAGGTCGGTGGGGACGGAGGAGAGGCTGAGGGCGGGATGGACAGGGGAGGGCGCAGACTGGGAACTCGGCCTGGAAGGCAGCGTGGAGCGAGGCTGTCGCTGGGGGTTCGGGGCGCGGGGGGCAGGTACCTTTATGCTTCTTGGCAGCGCCCGGCTCCGAGACGCTCAGGGAGCTCTCGGACAGCTCATCTGTGTCGGGCTCCCGCGGCACTTCCTCCAAGTCCCAGGGGGCCAGCTCACAGTCCTGGGGCTCCAGGGCTGGCGGGGCCCCAGCCGAGGCGTCCTCCTCCAGGGGAGCGGAGGCTGCAGGCGCCCCTGGCTGGAACAGGGCCTCCTCTCCGCGGGCGCTGTCCATAGAGGCCACATAGTCCAGCATCAGGCCAGCATCGCTGTCCTGACACAGCGAGGTCTGTCGGGAGAGAGAGTCAGCGTGAGGGACGCTCCAAGGACACGCCGCCCGGACCCCCAATGGGTGACGGCTGTGACCTCCTTCTAAGTCGGAGGGGTGACAGGGACGTGAGCTCGGAGCTCCAGGTCCAGCTCCTCTGAGCCTCTGTGCCTACAGCATCTTAAACCGATAAGCCCAGGCTTTGTACCCGAAGGGCTTTGCTCGTGTGTGAACCAAGCCGAGGGGCCGGGAGCGGGAAGTGGCCGCAGCGGGCACGGAGGGGGCACGTGCCGGTCTGCTGTTCTCCCGAGCAGCTGCACGGGGGCGTCTGCTTAGCGTCAGTGATAACTGCGCTTCCCTGACTCAAGTGCCCATGGACTCGGAGGGGACAATGAAGCATCAGTGGAAGGAATAACCGCGGTGGGTTGGGGGCATCAAACGTTAAGATCCATGCGTGCCTGACGATTCTGAAATGAAACCTCAGAGAAAGCTTAGAGGAGACTGGCCACGAGTCTCACACTCGTCCAGAACCGGGAAACAGCAGGGAAACACTAAAACCCTGGGTCCCGCCTCTCCCGGAGATGCCAGCGCCGCCTGCTGGCTGCTGAGGGACGGCACAGGACACCCTGAGAGGTACCGCCCAGCTCCTGGGTGACGATGCTCAAGGCTGCCACCAGCTGTGCCTGTCGGGACTCGAGGCCCTTCTCCCGCAGCTGAGAGGTGGGTTTTCAGTGTGCCTGCCAGTCCCACCCCAGGGTGCCCTCGAAGTATCAACGAGCCCGCCTCCTCCTCCTGGCCCCCTCCCGCCATCAAATCTGCCGAGGTCCCTCCTTGCTCGCACCCCCTTGTTCAGTCTGAAATGTTAAAAAGGAGCAAGGGACGGTCCTCGTGGCCTCCCGCCCTGAGGGACAGGCCTCTCCAGCAGCCCGGCCTGCTTGGCGCCCAGTCAGGCCGGCCATGCCCCCACCGCCTGCTCTGGACAAACATCACGGAGCGGGAGGAGGCAGGCGTGGGATCGGATACGTTCAAAACCGAGCCTTGTCTCTAATTGCAAAAGGCAAACACATTCACTGCGAAAAAATCAAAATGGTGTGGAAATGCGTAACGTGGGAAGCGGAAGTCACCGGGAGCGCAGCGGTGGCGGGCGGGGCCGTCACAGAGGGCTGGCCCAGTGGCCCTCGGGTCTCTCTCTTCCAGTGACTTTTCTTCGAATGATTCACCAACCTCTCAATGACCAAAGCGCCACCCCACCCCCTCCCCCACCCCGTCGGAAACGTTCACGTTTCCTTCGTAAACAGGATGAGCTTTGTGAATGAGATGCCACCAGTCGGCCCCTGCTGGATGAGGGACAGGGACCGACTTTTCTAAATGGGGCTTCCTGGAGGTGGATCACCAGCTGGGGCCAGCTTCCACGGGCGGGGGGGGGCGGGCGCTGGCGGGGACGGGGACAGACGCGGCTCACCTTGGAGACCCCCGATATGATGATGGTGCTCTTCTTCCGTGGTGGCCTGAGCTTCAGCTTCGAGGACTCGCTGAGCTGCCGGATGGCGACCTCGGCCACAGGATCCGAGCCGTTTAGCACCAACAGTTCTGTGGGGGGAGGCGGCGTGGACACGTCAGCACAGGTCAGAAACTCTGCTTGTGGACCCTGGTCTACAGCGGACGCTCTGTGTGGTCACATGACACGCACTGACACGTGCACACAGGGTCTGTGCGTGTCTGTGTGCGTGAGCTGCACCCCGATAGAGCTGGGGAAAAACCAGCCAGAGCAGGTCAACAAGCAAAAGACCTCCAAACTCGGGGGGATTTTGAACTGCGAGAGGCAAGTGGGTGACCACCCACGGCCGGGCTCAGGCCGTGAGGGGCCGGTCGCGAAAGCAGCACACGCCAACGCCTGACGCTCCAGGCCGTGCAGAGGGCTCTGCGCATGTGACTTCACTCAGTCGCCCCCCGGCCCTGAGGTGGGCGTCCTCTGAGGCCTCCTCTGGGAAGCGAGGGAACGGTCTGGCAGCCTGGCCAGAGGCAGAGCTAGGATGCCCGCCAGGTGTCTGGGACACAGAGCTGACGCCCGGAACGCACGGTCCCGCCAACGTCGAATTGAAGCGGCAACACCCTAAAGGAGCATGTAAAAAGAACCTTCTGCCCTCAGTCTGGGCGGTGGCCTGAGGGACACGGGCATCGCGTTCCCAGGAGGAGTGGTGACAGGACCCGGCGGCAGCAGCTCCTTGGTCGTGACCCACGACGCGGGGAAGGGTTGCCAGAAAGGGTTGAGGGGGACGCCTTTGGGGAAGGCTGTGCCGTGACTCCCGCGCCTCCGAGGGACGGGTCTGCGCAGGGCACCTCTGCCCGGCCAAGGTGACAGGTGTGCCCGGGAAAGGGACTCGGCCCCGGCTGCACCGTGGGAGCCGATGCCAGGGGCTGGAGCCCGAGACCCGATGACAAATCCACGGCAGGAACCTCAGCCTGGGGTCTTTGAAAAAGGGGTCCTGCCCAGGCGAGGGGACCCCCATAGGATGAGGTGGTGGGACGTACCACCGGGGCGGAAGCTGAGCCGGAGCCCCGTGTCCGGGACGTCATGGCTGGGGGGCCCTGCAGGGCAGCGTCCGAAGAACCGCGAAAATGCCCGCGGGGGAAGAGGCCGTTTCCCGCCCCCACCGGGCAGAGAGGGGCAGCGCACCCAGGACAGCACGGCCAGCCGAGCCCCTGTCCCCACCCGCAAGTCCCTGCCCCATCCTCGCCCTTGGCAGCAGCAGAATCAAGCTCAGCGGGTGCGAGGCGGCCAGACAGAAGCCACCGACCTGACCCGCCCCTGTGACGTACGTCCCACATGCCGGGGGGGACATTTAACCCCGAAACGTAGACTACGCTGTGACTCAAAGAGACAGTGAGACATCTCTTTAAAGGTATTTACTGCCTGAAAGTGACGATAAAAATGGAAAATTGGCACCTAGAGTTCTTGGGGGGGGCGGGGGGGAGGTGGATGAGAAATGCCTCCTGTCAAACAGGCTTCACGGGGCCATGGGGACAAAAAATAAAGCTGCCTTTCTGATTATGTCCCCTGAGTCCTGCCAGCTCCATGATATTCGTGTAACTGGTGTGTCAAACAGAGAAAAGGGCACGTGCAGACAGTTTACAAAGTGAGGTGTGAGCCGGGGGGCGTGTCTGTGACGCGTCCCCCGTAAGGGCCATAGGGGCCGAAACGCCACTCCCGGCATTCGGCCAACTCAGACTTCCCTTTTCTCCCTCGAGTTCTTCACTCGCTCCTTAAAAAAGCTTCCCAAACCGCGAAGAGGGGACGCGGGCTTCTCATGGGGGAGGGGGTGCGGGGGGCGCAGGTGCAGGAAGAACACAGGACCGGCCGGGGACGCCTCACCTGTGTCCGAGGAAGACAGGGTCTTGCTGACGGGGGCGCTGCAGCAGGAGATGGCCTGGACGGAGATGTCCTTCTCAATCACCCTCACCTTGACGGGCGTCCTGAGGGGAGAGTCTGCCGGGAAGACGCCGGTTACAAGGGCCCCCAAACCGCGTCTGAGTCCGGTGATGGGGCAGTGAAACCTGACCTTCCTCCCACCCCACCGCGTGCGGTCGGGAGGGGCGAACCTTACGGGTTTTTAACTCTCTCTCTTATTGCATTTTTGGTTTTTTGGGGGGTGGGGTGGGGTAGGGTGGGGAGCTTGCCAAAAAGGGTGTTGGAAGCTCGGGTTTAAATAAAATTGCAGAAATGTTTTAATTAAGCCAGAATTTCCCGGTCTGTTTTTGCATTCCAGAACCGTGCCAGGCCGTCTATCCTGGGAAGATATTTCTGTCCGAGCAGAAACACAGTATAAATAAATAACTCATACACTTATACAGAAGTCGTCCTCCAAGGCAGTGGCTGTGGGGACAGGCACAGAATTCAGCCGGATCTAAACTGACTGCACATCGAGCCTTCTAGTAAATGATATTTAACATCAGCAACTACACTGGCCTGCCGTTTAAGATCGCATACTGTCCCCACGCCGACGTCATGGACCACTCCCTTTAAATAGCTGTTTCATCTAACACCTAAATTTTACCTCCAGAATACACTACTGGTGGAACCTTACTTCGGCTTGTATTTATTTGACAAAATAGAAAGGTAATTTTCTATTAAAAAAAAAAGGCTACGCAGGGGTCTCGCCGGGCACGGCCCTCCCGCGCCACCGGCTTTATGACCAGCCGCCCGCGGCCCCGCCCCCTGCACCCAGGACCCAGGTCTCCACGGCGAGGGCGGGGCTCGGGGCCCGGCCCAGGGATGGCTCCCCCTCTCACCAGGGCTCAGCGGGGACGCCCGCCCCGCGTCGAAGCGAGGCTTGGTCTTCACGGCGGTGACGGTGGTGACCACCGTCCCGCACGGCATCACCGTGCGGTCTTTCTCTATCTTGGCAGCAGGAACGGGCGGCGGGCTCTGCCGGGGCTTCGCTTCGCAGGGTTCTATGTAACAGAACTGCGGAGAAGGCGGTTGTGCTTCAGGGTCGGTGTGGGGACAACCCCGCCCGCCGTGGACGCCGACGTCCTCTGCCGTAACCACTGGTGCCTTCAGTCACTGTCGCTTAGTACGATAATGAACCCGGATCTCCCCAGAGTTGACGTCAGGATGACGGGACCCACGCTCGAATCCAGCCACGCAACACGTGACGGGAGCAAAGGGTGGAGGTGTGAAGGGCATAGAACACGCTTTGTGGGGTGAACCACGTTCACGGAAAACCGTGTCACGCGGCAGATGGCTCGACACGGTCACGGGCAGGAAGCGTCCTGGTCAAGTCTCCAGACGCACCGTATGAAACGGCGGTCCTTCCCCGACCGGCACCTCTCACCTTCACACCAGAGCAAGACAGACAGACAGAAACGAGGGCGCGTCTAAGCGGGTCGGGCTGGGACCTGGCCACCTACCTCCGCGGTGACCGAACCCAACACCGAGCTGCCCACGGAGGGCCCGCTGGTCAGCGTGAAGCTTTGTGGCCCGGAAGGCTGCTTCTTAAACAAATCTAAAGGGACAGTTGTCATCGCCAGCAGAGCTAAAAAGACAGGAGACGACAAATGAGCACCACGGATGTCTCCACGGGAGGGAACAGTCGGCGTGAGCTGCTGCAGCCAGAACGAACTCCTGATCATTCCTGTCCGCCTGAAACCATTTGGCGAATGTCATTGTCATAACAACGAAGGAAGCTGAGAGGTGGTGAGGACGGGCAATGTGACCGTGACGGGCAATGTGTGACCCTGGACTGGAGCAGAAACTGTGGATAGCAAAGGGGCTCTATGGAAAGTGACCTCCTGGGGTGGCCTGGGCGTGAATTCCTATGTGGGCAGGTCACGGCGGGCAGTCACGCCCCAGGCACACGACTTCTCCAGTGACAGGCTCACCTGTGCCCTGAGCCAGCCCCCGCCCCCGCCCCATTAGTGAGTCAACGGATGAAACTGGAACTCGGGGGGCGGGCTGGACGGCCACGGCGACGTAAACTCAGGACGCTGAAAATCGTGCCGCGGACGCGTACGAGAACATCCCTGCTCACAGGGAATGAAGAATTTAGGGGCGAGGAGCCACGATGCACGGAATTGCGCTCCGACAGTCCACACGTTTACGTGTGTGTGTGGAGAGAGACAACACGTAAGCAAGAGCGACCACCAGGTGTGAGCACAGATCATAAAGGAAATGGGCAAAACGTTAAAAGCACAGGAGTCTGAGTTAATGGTTATACGGCTCTTCCTTGCTTTGCTTTTTCAAGTGTGGAATTTCACAGTCCCTGTGGGGCTGGACAGGAGCGGGGCCCAGGGCGGACTAGGAGCCGGCTTCCCTCAGCGGCTGATCCTGCGTCCCCACACCTGCCCGCTCCGGGAACCTCGGCTCTTATCTCGGGAGCGGCCCAGGTGTCTCGAGGCTGCCGATCACGGAAGTCACTGTAGAATTCTGGCTAATAACCAGAAGCGTGAACATCTTTTTCCTGGGTCTTGAGAACATCAGAAGATAGCCAAGTGGCTTGGCTGCGCAGCTGGATAAGCCAGTTACGGGTTATTCCTCACTTTCGATGCTTGGTGCGTTTATAGGGATTTTTAAAAAATCTAATAAACATTGAAACTACCGACTTACACACAGGTACGCCTGTGGGTCCACATTCGCTATAGCGATTTTCCTTCTGTTTTCTTGTATCTGAAGCCCGTGTCCAACTCAAGCCACTGTGGCTTATGGTACAAGGACAGGACAGTTGAAATGCAGACACGGGAAGCAGGATGGTGGCGCCGGGGGCTGGGGCAGGGGGAGCGGGAGGCGGCGGTGTTTAATGGGGACGGAGCCTCGTTCTGGAGATGGGTGGTGGGGATGGCCGCCCAGCGACGTGAACACACCCGTGTCAACAAACTGCACTCAAAAATGGCTAAGACGGTAAATGTTATGTTACGTGTATTTCACCGTAATAATAATAATAGTAATAATAATTAATAATAATAATACATGACCTATTAAGGCTCAGAGGTTTGAGAACTGCTTCTCTAAGCCAAGAATTGTTTCACGAAAGATTTTGGCTATTAAAAAACAAACCAAAAAAACCCGTGGAACATACTTTCCCAAAATGCATGACCTTGTTAATGACCGAGAGGGACCTTCAACCAAACATTCCCACGGGGAGACCCAGAGTGGTTTGGGGGGAGGGGCTGGCCTCCTCCGGGTCTCCGCCCTTCGCAGCTTCCCAAGGCCACCGTCAGCTGACTGACCCTTCCAGGGAGCAGGGCCTCATCTACCTGGTCGCCACCCACCTTCCGAGGGTCTCCCATCCTCTGAAATCTGCAGGCACAACTCCTTGGACCTGGCATTCAACTCACTGTGAAAAGGGGAAAAAAAAACGCTGTGAGTCTTCGAAGGTGCTTTATCGCTTTTGAAATAGCATTTTTTTTCTGATTATAAAGTCATCATCAATTTTTTAAAAACGATAGAGACATATAGCCAAAGGTATAAAGATGATCTGCAACCTCACTATTCAGAAATGGTTACTGTTGACATCTGCTGACTGGCCTCTCAGAATTATCCAACAGAACTGTCTGGATGATGATAGTAATATAGGTGCTATCAAATACGGTGGCCACTAGCCTCATATGGCTTTTGAGAACCTGAAATATGGCCAGTGCAAACAGGAACTGGATTTAATTTCGTTTCATTTTAATGACTTGAGATTTAAAGAGCCACACGTGGCTATTAGTAACTGTATCAAAAGGATTCTCGTGTAATTGTCTAAACCCAAAATATAGAACATAATACACCTCCCTCCTTCTTTGTAACCTTTTTTTTTTTTCATTTACGATACCACGTGCATCTTTCCAGGACAATAGCTACAGGGCAGCATCGCTTTTAATCGGCTGCTAGTACTCCACTATCTGGCCCTGCGAGATTTAATTAAGCCAATTCCTTAATAAGCCAACCCAACAACGTTTTCTCTTGTCACGACAGGGCCTGGGGACACGGGTGAGGAGGAAGTCAACGTTAAGAGCTACCTTCCAACAGAAACTCATGTCTGACTTAAAGGCACCTCCGATGCTTGATACACTTTTTCAAGAAACTGTTTTAAACATTGTTTTTGGTCTACACGGTGCTACTAAGTGATGCTGGGGGTTGGCGGTCTGCACCAGGTGTGGCTGGGGAAACCGAGCCCACAGGGGCCCAGCTATACGCACAAGGTGAACTCCTCTTCCCAGGTGAGGTCCGTAGTGTTTGGGGGGAGGGCGCTGGACAACTTCTGAACAGGCTCGTTCAGCTGAAGCGTGCACAGCAGATTCAGGTCGCCTGCAATCGAGCAGAGGGCCCGGCTGGGCTTTTACTGGTGGTTTCTTAATCACTTTAGGACATTTTTGCATGTCAAAGAAAGGCTGAATAAAATGCCTGCGGTCTTGGCTCACCAACTTCCGAGGGGCTTTTCTTCCATCTCCACTGACAAACTCTCGAAGCACCCCACTCTGTCTGCTGCTAAAGATTTTTCTACCCTCGTTTAATGCCCAGAACCCAGATTGATTCCAGGGACCCCTGCTCCTGGCCAGCAGGGCTCAGTGCTGGCCGCAGGCACAGGCTCCCGGTGGGGGACACGCCTTGGGGATAACGTTAGTGCAGCAGAGATGGGGGCCCCACTTCTGGACAAGACTAACCGCTTGCCAAAGAAACGAGATCTGGGACAACGCCTAAGTCTGGGGGACCCCTTTCTCTACTTACAACAAATGTGTGTGTTTACACCTGACCCAACTCAGGTAAAACCCTTTCCAGGGTGTTTGATCCAGATGATGGGGGAGTTCATTGTCATCATCTAACAGCCGCTTCTGGCCCTGGCACAACGCCGTGAGTGTGCTGTGTGGTCAGTCCAGCTGGGGCTGGGGTCTCCAGCCCGTCCCCGTGCACAGGAGACGCTCTACACACGGCACACACGAGCTTCTCAATCACCTTCTGGGGAGGCTCGCCCCAGGTGGGGGCCCCAACGCCGACACAGAGTCCAGGGAGCCCCTCTCAGTCACTGAACATGGGGCCTCAGAGGGTTTCAGGCGAGCGCTTTTACCACCACCCACCACCACGAGAGCGAGCTCTGTGGAGTCCTAGCTGCTAAACGTGGCCCGCTGTATGTTTGGAACCGAGAGAAGCTCCTTGCAAACAGAGATAAGTGTCCGCTGACATTGCAGACGACAGAAAAGAACTTTTTTCTATTCTCAGCAAAACAGAACCAAAGTGGAGAGCGGAGCCCCGTGCCAGCCTTCCACACATCGGGGGGCACGGCCGCAGTTCAGAGCCGGCCGAAAGCCGTCCGTTCTGGGGGTGCCTTTGTGGTCACTCAGCCAGAAGCCGCTCCTTGCACCGAAGGGTCCCCCATGGGCCCGCTTCTGACACCCACAAACCGCTCACATGGCACTTCACCTTCCGGGAAAGCAAAGCAATCAGCTGGGGACGCTTACCATGTACTGACAGGGAGAGAAGGCGCCTTTTCAATACAGGGAAAGGGCAAAGCCACCTGTGTCCCTTGTGTCCTTCCTTTGCCCGGCTTTCACGTATGCAAAACCTGGGTTGTATTTCAACAGTTGTGTGACGATTTTCAAGGGCTCCTTTTGGCTCAAAGGCAGTGATCACACCGCAAACCCAACTGGAGGGAGCCTGAAGGCCACTGAGAACCCACAGGTCACCCCTCCGCTCGGGTCATGCCGCAGGACAGTCTTGCCGCCACCGGCCAGGGGCCCTGCCGCGTGGCCACCCACCTGAAGCACCAGCGCCGTTTAGCAGCGAGGCTCGGATGTTCTTCACCAGCAACTTGAGTTCGTGAGCCCTTGGAGGTTTGGGAGGACAGGGGTCCTGAGGGGCGGGGGAAGCACGCTGGAGATTCTGCAGGAAGAGAAGGGACGGTGACCCGCGCGAAGGCCGAGGACGGCGGAGGCTGCAACCCGGGCCGGCCCTGTGACAGCCCCCCCTTCTCATGGGAAGGCAGGGTACAGGCAACCAGCACCACCTCCCTGCTGGGCGCCTTCCACGTCTGCCAGAAAGCAGAGCGGCAACAGGGGCAGCCAGGGAGGGCCCCCGCCATCACGCTGAAACCACGGGGCTCCCCGCGGACCCAGGCCGGGTGCTGGCGAGAGAGCGGGGCGCCCTCTCCAGGCTGCGGGGGTGTCTGCAGCCCACCAGCACCGACCGTGACACCAGCCAGCCCGTGGCCACATCCTGCCTTCGGGCAGACCCGCCGTCCACGTGGGGGACACCTAAGCATCGTCCAGGTGTCGCGCTAGCGAGGGAGAGGCAGGCACCGCTGGGACTGGCTTCGGTCATCCCGTCCTCAAATCAGCACGAAGGCACTTGCAGCAGAAAACCTCCCCGTGCCTGGAGGCCCCGCCTCGAACCCCGCCTTTCCCAAAGCAGCTTCCTCCTCTCTGACAGCTCCCCCCGCCGTCAGCTACAAACACGTCAGCTACAAACAGCTACAGACAGGCTTCTCAGAGACGGCACAGGACTCCACACTGTGAAAGCTTTCAGGGAGGGATCTGACCTCAGAATGCCTTTTGGGGGGACACTCACTAACACCTTACGGGACACAAGTGTCCTTTAGGTCACTGTTCTGAACCGGGGCCTTGTCAGTGGTGAGCTGCGAGGACAGGAAGCAACGGCGAGACCCCCTCAGGCCCCGTCCGACCCCTGGACACAGCGCTCGCGTGGCCGGGACGGACACCAAACGTCTTCGGCTGTCTACGTGTCAACTCGACCAGTGTCCAGGTGCCCGGGAATATCGTCAGACATTATTCTGGGTGTTTCTGTGAGGCTGTGTGTGGAAGAGACTGATGTTTAGGCCGGCGGACTGAGTAGAGCAGCCGTCTTCCCCAGCCTGGGTGGGCCTCGCCCGGCAGTTGAAGGCCTGAAGAGAACAAAAGCTACCTGCCCAGGTACGAGGCCGTCCCTCGTGCCTGCCCGCCTGCAGCCGGGGGACCGGTCTCCCGCTCTGGGGCTCAAACGGAACACGGGCTCTTCCTGGGTGGTCTCGAGCCCGCGGACCTTCAGACTGCGAGGACCCGTCAGCTTCCATCATCAATTCTCTCTCGAGATTTAGCATAAGGAACGGGCACTCGCGGTGACAGAGGCTGACGGGATGTCCACATCCTACTGGGTGTTTCCCTGGAAACGCCGACCAGTACAACACACGTGCTATTTTGATATATAAACTCTACACATTTACTTAAAAAGCATCATTCAACGTATGGTGGTTTCGGCTGCTTTTTTTTTTTAAACGAGAGCGCATTTGAGTTTATCTGAACCCAGCCGATGACGCGGTGGGAAGCCAGCACTCGGACGCTCCCAGGAGCTTGGGCCCTTTTATCTTCTGAATCCGTGTATTCTGAAAATACACTATTTTCTCAAGTTCCTCGAATTTTGACATTAAAAATTCGTGATACTCAAAACAGCCAGGTGCCGCCGACCTGAAATAAACCCCCATGGCTAGAACTTCTGGGACAGCCGCTGAGAGGGAAGCCTGGCCTGACCGCCTCTCTCTGGGGGCGCTGAGCACCCCGACCCGGCCGCTGCCACTGGGAAGCCTGGACGGACATGACGAGCCCCTCGCTCTTCTCGCCTGTTTTCCTGCTGCTCCTTCCTGTACCCCCCGTGCTCAGAGCTTAGCACCCCACACTGCGATCAAGCGATGTCTGATGAACCGAGCAGATTTTGTGTGTAGACGCTACACCCTAAGGGGGCGCTGCCTTCCCTAACGGGAACCAGACACCGAGAGCCCGCATCACAAAAATCATTTTAAAAGTTTTCAAAATGACTTCAGCAAAACCCGATAAAGATGGATAGCCCACCACGCCCGCGACAATCCTGGAAATATGCACGAGGAATAATACCCTTGGGGACGGCAAGGGCGTGTTTTGCATCATCGCAGCGAAAGGCTGAGCTCATAATTGGGAGAATTAATCCACCTGAGGCAAAGGGTGTTGGACGTGTCGCCAGTGAAGGTGGGAGAGACCAAGCCCAGCAACCCTCAGCAGGACCAACGTCCTGGACGAGAATTTAGTCACAGAAGCAGCACCCTAGCCAGGCATGGAGAGAGCCCCAGAACAGGGCGGGGAAAGACGGGTGGCATGGAAAAGGGGGCCACGGGCAGGGGATCCCTTGTGTCCACACTGCCCATGGGAAGCAGATGCTCCTGGAGGCCAGGCCACCAGGCTGTCCCCGGCCTGGGCTAAACAGCGTGTCCGTCTCGTGTGTCTCACTCTGCCTACCTAACAGGGCGCGCTCTCACTGCTAACTGGGTGTCCCCAGTACCTCAGTCCTGGAAGATGAGGTCCAAGACCACAGGCTCTGAGGGGACAGTGAAGTTAAGTTTTTAGCTCCTGAATGGCGGAGGGTCAGGGCTACTTAGGGCCAACTGCCTCCTCCTTCCAGCACATGGAGATTTGGAATCCTGTGCCCCGAACTCGAGTTTCCCCCGCAAACCATGGTGGTTCTCGACCAGCGCTGGTGGGATCTCGCTGTCTCAGCGGGTGGAGGAACGCGGAAAGCACACACATTGTCCAGGGAGCCGAGCCCTGAGCCCTGCCGGGGTCCCGCAGCCCCCGCTCCCCGCGAGCAGCCCCCGCTCCCCGCGAGCGCGTTTACCTGCACATCCCTCGCGTCCACAGGCTTGGCGCTCAGAACCACCGCCGGGGAGGCGGGACCGACCAGGTGCTTCAAAATGTCCCTGAGCGCTTGCGACACTGCGTGCACCTCCACCGCCCGGTCCTGCCGAAGAGATGTCACCCGTGCATTTGGCGACGGCGCATGCGTGCCAGGGACCGGCGACCGCCCGTCGTCCCCGATGCCCCGAGAAGAGCGAACCGCGGTCCCCGACACCCCCAACAAGGGCTACGGTCCGTCCCCGGTCCCCGGAGAGCCCCGCAGAGCGGCGGCCCCGGCCCTGATTCTGGCTCTGCCACCGGCCACGCCAGGCCTCCGGGGTCCCTCGTCACCTCCGGTGTCAGGGCCCCGCTGTGGGGTCCAGCCCACCCCTGCCCGCGGAGGGGGACGCAGCCCTTCCAGGACTGGTTTTCTCCGGCGCCACGGCCCTGCTGGACGCCTGCCCACCTGGGCTGGGGCTGATTTCAGAAACTGGTCCATGGTGTACCCAGGGCCGCCGGCCGGCCAGGCCTCGTTATGGCAAACAGGCCAAATCTGCCACTCATCGAAAATCGACTCTCTGCCAAGAACTGTAAACGAAGGATAATCTTAATAGCTAACGTTTACATCGCTTTTGGGACGTGCCAGGCTTGATTCTATGCGTTTATACGTATTAACTAATTTAATCCCCACAACCCCCTTGAACATTCCCCCCACGTTACAGATGAGGTGACCGAGGCAGAGACCGGACATAACGTGTGTAGGACACACAGCTCCTGGCCGGCAGAGCAGGGAGTCCAGCCCAGGGGGTTGGGGTTCCAGGGTCCGCACCGACGACCTCTCTGCCACCACCTCTCCCTTCAATGTGCCCTTGATACACGTATTTTTTTAAATTGAGGTGAAATTCATATAACAAAATTAACTATTTTAAAGTATGCATTTCAGTGGCACTCAGTCCTTTCAAACTGTTGTACCCCATGACTTCTAATTCCAAAATATTCTCATTGCCCCCCAAAAAGTAAACCCCATGTCCATGAGCAGTCACTCCCCGCCACCCCCAACGCACACACGCACACGCGCCCACCCCAGGAGGCCACCACTGCTGCCTGTCTCAGTGGGTCTGCCTGACGCGGACCTCTCACAGGCCTGGAGCCATCCCACACGTGGGCTCCTCACACCCAGCACGATGCTCACAGGGTCACCCACGTTCTAGCAGGTGTCAGGACTTCATCCTCTTTTGTGTCTGAATGACATTCCGTGACATGGATGGACCTCATTTGGTTCAACCAGTTTTATCTTTTTCAACCCTCACAATTCCTCCTCACGTTACAGAGGAAGAAACCGAGGGGCGAAAGATGAGTTTTGGGGTGCTCAAGTATCAGTCCATCACAATACTTAATAGGCACCCCCTGTGTAACTAAATGGCCAGGCCAAAAATTACTTTTGATGTATACAAGTTAAAAGAATTATACTTCAAACTCATTAGGCTTTAAAAAAAGGTGACTATATCTAGATCAAAGCATGAAAGGTGAAAATATTTATAGACAAATGAACTATGAAATTCACATATTTCCGCTGGGTGACATCTAAGCAGCTAAACGGAGTCTGAGAGGGTAGAATCGCCAGGAAACATCATAAAAGCCCCCACAAAAGAAGGCCTCGCGGACCCACGTCTTGGGCATCAACCTGCGCCCTCTTTCCAGCAACTGGAGGTGTGACGCCAGCGTGGCTAGCACGCCGCGGCCGCTCCCAGCTTCGCTTCGACAAGCAGCTAAGGCCAAGCCAGGGAGAGAACGGAGGCCGGGCCCTCGTGAGCCAGCTGGACTCAGCCCGAGCTGCAGGTGAAGCGCCTCGGCGTAGGCGAGCGGATGGGTCATCAGGTGTGCTAGGACAAGCTGGGTAGCTTGCCACAGCTTCATGCGTGCTTTAAAAACTTCCCAGCCCAACTACGCTCATGGGGCGGGGGTGGAGGTGGCATCAGGATTCCTGCGTAACAGCGGCCAGGTGACTCCAGGTGTGGGCCTGGGTGTGGGCCCGGGCGTGAAGTCCATCACGACCCACACGCGTTCGCACACACACCCATGGGGGAATCAGCGTGAGGACGGACCTCTCCCGGGGCTTTGGGCCGGACCGTGATGGCCACCCCTGGCTCGCTGAGGAACGACCACCCGATCCGAATGTCCTCTGTCTCCTCCTTCATGTGGAGCTCCAGCTTTAAAAAGAAAAAACGCAGGTTACTGGAGGGCAGCTCGCTCTGGCAGTCACACACGTGTCGGTGAGTGTGTGTGTGCGTGTGCGCATTTGTGTGTTCATTCACTTTCTCAGACGACTGATTTTCTTAGACTCCCTCGCCATCCTGTGTGCTTTTGAAATGGAAGGAGGGTCCCAAACCCCCTTTGACCTCCGCCTTCACCGTATGTACCTCCGCCCCCACCCCCACGCTCCCCCTGCCTCCACCCACCACTCAGAGAGGAACCTCAGGGTTGGTGGCTGAAGGCCGGATGTCATGAAAACTCTGCAGCCTCCTTAGAATGACTAGTTCTCTGTACTCCACACGTCCCTTCTGGGGGTGTCACCAAGGTGTAGAGGAGGAGCCGCAGAAGGCAGTCGGACGCCTGACCCAAGCCCACGCTCCCCCAGGCCCCGCGGGCTGTGCACAGAGAGCACAGTGGACTCGTCCCTCACAGTGCCCCCCGCAGCCCTCCCTATCTGTCATGGTAGAAGAATGCCCCCCCCGCCAAGATGTCCATGCCTCAATACTGAGAACCTGTGACCATGGGGCCTGACACAGCAAAGGGGGCTTTGCAGGTGTGATGAGCACGGGGACCTCGAGATGGGGGATGATGATTCTGGGTTGTCCTGGTGAGCCCAGCGGAATCACATGAGCCCTTACAAATACAGGAGGAAAGCAGAAGACCATGCCGGAGACATGACCTGAAGATGAGGGCTTCCAGGGGCCCAGGGCGGGGCCACCTCTAGAAGCTGGGACCACCGCAGCTGACGGCCAGCGAGGAACCAGCCCTCAGTGCGGCCACCATAAGGAGCCGAATTCTGCCAACACTGAGCAAGAAAACATTCTCTCCCAGAGCTTCCAGAAAGGAAGGCAGCTGCCAACACCTGGACTTCAGCTTGTGCTGGACACCAGACCTCCAGAATGCAGTGTGACACAGCTGTGCTGTTCCAGACTAAGTTTGTGATCATGTGTTTCGGCAGCCGCAGCAAGCTCTACACCAGCCTCCATTTCTCGGCCAGAGACAGACATCTCAGCTCTTCACGTCTGCCTCCTCCCCGCCACCCAACAGAGGGAGAGAAAGGACGGCTTCCGACGGCATTTCTGAACGCCCAGGATGCTCACCTCACGCTAGCAAGAGGTGAGAGAAACGATGCCCGCCCTCGTAACTCTAGGACGAGCAGACCTGAACTTCACTGCCACAGGTCCCCGAGTCACCCCCGCCAGGCACGGGGTGATGGCAGCAAGCCCGGCTGCTGGCCCCTTCCTGCACCTTTTATCTGGAGGACAAGCGAGGAGGAACGCCTCCTGCCTGGAGCATGAATAATTCACCCACGTCTAGCAGTTGCTTCAGCTTCGGGAGGGACCCCACAGGCTGCTTTTCGACTGTGCCAGAGATCAAAGATACAATTGTGTCCGAGCCACCAAAATGACACACAAAACCCATCTCAGAAACTACACGGCCTCTGTTAACGTCTGGGGTCCTTACTGGACTCGCTCAGTCTTGAAAGGAGCATTAAATGTGTCCTAGACTTTGAGGTTCTTTTCTAGCCACACTGTCCAAAGAATTGGGGGGGCGGGGACAGGAGGCATGAACCTCTGACTAGCCCAAGAGAAACTTCTCCACGTCAACTCAAAAAGGGAGTGTTATTGGAGCGAGGTTGAGGGGGCGGGGCTGGTTTCAGGGAAAAAAAGCCATTTAGGTGACCAGAAAATCTTGTTTGCGCTGCTTATTTAAAACTGTGTCTTTGCAGGAAAAGTATTTGGAATGTCATCTTCCCTTGTGGAGGGGAGTCCTGTGGGGAGTCCATCCCCAAATTAGCAGCCAACCACGAGGACAGAGGCGAGAAACCGGGACAGAACAGGCAGTGACCCCTAACACAGACCCAGAAATCCGCAGTTTTTACACACCAGCTAAACAGGAGCCTCAGTCAGTGAACGTGTTTAACGTGAGAGACACAGTTATCTGACGGTTCATCCAGAAGTTTCACTAGTCAGTCTATTATAATTACTACGTGTCTCTCATATTGTTACGTATAATTATGAATAGTAATATATAATTAATGTACGCTATAAAGTGGTATATGACATATAAGTCTATTTTAATTATTATAATAATAAGTCTATTATCTGAAAAATAATGGTAACAGTCATCTTTGAACTTCTAAAATTAACAAGGGGTCTTTTAAAGTCGAGTCTCTCAAAAACCAAAGCCCGGAGAGCCATGGCCCAGCCCCCCAGCTGTCCTCGCAGGCCGCAGGCGGCTTCGGGGGTCCAGACCCGAAACGGGCACTCTGCTCCGCCCACCCCACCTGGTTCTGCCAGCCAACAACACCCCCAACCTGCTCACGTGCCTGCAAAACACCGTGCCTCCCGTTCTTGGTAGACAGGCAACCTCTAAGTTCGTTATACATACGTATGTGTGAGTACATATGAGTGTGTGCGCGTGTGTACGTAACATACATGCACGTCACATATACGTTTTCATTTCCCAGATACAATATGGAAGGTTACAGTTCGAAAATTATGAAACGAATGGTAAATAAAAACGGAGTATTCGCAGCCCCGTGCTCACGCCCTGCCTGCCCTCCACGGTCACGGGCACTGTCCCCGCCCCGCTTTACCTGTAGATGGCACGGGGAGAGGCTCACATCATACTGCTGGCGCCCCGAGTCCGCGGGCGAAGCTGGCCCCGTGCTGACCAGGAACCGGATGGCCTCGCCCACCACGTGACAAGACACCAGCTGCGGGAGGGACAAGGTGACAAACTTTAAGGGACTTTCTGAGACAGAGCTGGGGGGGAGGGGCGTCTATACCACATGCCTCTCTATTTCATTTCATGAAATAACCTAGACTATAAATCAGCAAAGGCAAGAACTTCAGAGTTTCAAACTCGGGGTAACGATCTAGATTTACGTCTTTTCTATTATGCAGTAGTTTGAAAACTGGAAACCGTATTCCCAGGCTTGGCTTCCCGGCCATGTCTCAGGAGAGACACTCTCTCTCTCGCCCACACGTAAAGGCTTTTTCTTTAAACACCGCTTTGATCTATTTCTTTACACCAGCCGATTCTAAATTCCCCAGACATTTCCACGTTCACACACGTGAAAGCCGTCAGCCACCATCTCTCACTAAAAACGAGCCTTAAAAAGAAAATGTTATAGATGTGACAAGTAAAAAATAACAAATGTACCCAGAATACAAGAAATCGTTTCTGTCTAAATAAGTTTTAACCCATCGCGGGTTTCAAAGATGTGGGGATAATTCAAAACGAATTATGAAATATGAATTAGGAAACATCAAACAGCTCTGAGTTATGCAGCCTTCACAGGAACAGAATTATCAAACGAGCTCATCGAAGGACTGAGAGGACAGGACGAAAAATTACAGCAGGAACGAGCCGGGCCGTACTCCCAGTACGAGTCACAAAGCACCGCAGGGGGGTGACTGCGACGGCCGTGACCACACGCAGGAATATCTAGTATCTGCCACAGAATCCCTCCAAGGGAGCGATCTTCTAGAATGACGGGTGAGCCAGCCTCCTGGCAGAATGCCAAGCCAGCCCAGGATGGGTGATTTCCAGCTGGGGTGCCAGGTGTGCACACAGCCTGGGAGAACAAACGATGAGGATGAGGGACGGGGGAGGGGACTAGCAGGTGGCCAGTGTCTGGGAGTAGGGACAGGACGGGATGGACCCCCACCTTCCCGAGGGAGCTGCCGACCGCACGCTGGAGGGCGTCACTTGCGAAGGAAGAGAAAATTCTTTGAGTCTCGGGTGGGTTTGTGAGAATCTCAAATATCAAGGAGAAACGCAATCAAAATAGTTCCCTTGTCGGGGCCGCCACGCAGGAAGTCGGGCTGGCACGTGCTCCTCCCCCTCCCCACCCCTGGCTCACTCCTCCCTCCCCGCGACCAGCGTCTCTCCACTCAGGGCCCACCTGCCCCCTCCAACAAAAACCGACCTGCACGCCGGGCCCCCCCAGCGAGGGGTCAGTTTCCCACGGCCACCCTAAAAGACCTCGAAGACACAGATCTAGAAGAAGAAACTCTTGCCTGTTCTCAACACCGGCAGAAGGTCACCCAACGCTTGTCCTCACCCATCCTCGGGAGTGGCTCTCGGAGGGCCAGCTGATGGGGACCGGTTACGACGTCTTCATCATGTTATTGCGTCTCGGGGGTTCACAGAGGTCGGAACAAAAATGTTTGCATAAGAACTGTCGTCTATTCATTTTAAAAATAAATGCTCTATAAACAACCCTGTTCAGAGGAAAAGTATTTTGATGCCAGATGAGTTACATGCACAAAGGACATGACACCAAAAAAAGTCACTGTGTCTCAGCAGCCCCGGGCCTGTTTTTCTGCGTAACACACACAAAAAAAGCCAATGACTGTGTTACTTCTGTTATTTCTTTGGAATTTCCTATACTAAGCTAATTAGAATTTGGCCAAGAAAACTGACAGCTTCCTTAGTGCCCAAACTCCAGTAAGAGAGAGCTGGTTTCCCTTTGATCCTTGCTTCTAGAAGCTTCCCCACTACTCTCGTCTTCGCCACATAGATGGCTCAGGTGCTTGATTAAAGCCAAAGAAACAAACAAACAGAAAACCAAACAAACAGACTTTAAAAGGCTTTAAAATTTCTGGAATGTCAGACTCCGAAGGTTCCAGTCACCGTTTAAGACATGTCAAGAAAGTGAGTGAGGTCACTAAAAATGGGACATCTACAGGTCCCTCTCACAGAGACCCCTGGGGGTCTTCTCAGCCCGATGGCTGCCCGACTCTTTATATCAGACCCGTCACACAGACCGGCCGTGTCCTGACCTCCCTTCCGTGTTTGGCGGGAAACGCTAAGTAAAACTACAATCTGATCCTGCCTCGACATGTCAATATGGCAAACGAAACGCCACCACCGTCCCCAAGAGTCCAGTGGGAGGGACAATGACAAAAGCCACACCTTCTCCTGGCTAGCCTCTGCCCCTGCCGCCTGAGAATACTAATGCCCCATTTGTCAAATGGATGAGAACGAAATGGAAAGGAGGTTTTAAAAACAAGTAATCTCCTTTTGGTGCATTAAGGTGTTATCCACAATGCAGATTAAATTCCCTCAACCCAGGTGAACAGTGGCAAGGCCTCGCCGTCCCAAGGGTCCCCTCAGCAGAAAGCAGAAGGCAGGGTCACCTGGTGCAAGAGTACACAGACCCTTCCAGCCAGTTAGCCTTCCTCAGTGGCCAGAATGTCCAGGGCCGCCATCTCTCTAAATACTGACGAACAGGCAGAGGCCGTGGCCGGGAGCCGAGTCTCCCTAACCCACGCGCATCGTGTTCACGGGGACTCCTTCTGAAGATGCCAGGCCGCTCGTCAGAGCATCCGGATGACCAGCCTGCTTCGTCCCTGACGCCTGGGCTTCCCTCTGAAACGGCGTGAAGGGATACTGGGTATTTAAAGTTGAATAGAAACGTCTGGCATCGGCGGGGGGACCAAGGACAGACGTGAACCCCAGAACTGGACCCCACGGCGCTAACGGCTCAGGAGGGAGCCCCGCTGAAAACCGGGCCACGAACCTGCCTGCTTGACTCTCGAGATATTTTTTCCGAAGCAAAGAACTGCTCGATTGTATAAATCGTTTCAAAATCGAGCAATAGGAGGCTGAACTGGGTATTCCAGATAAATCCCGTCTCTGCACATAACAGAGCATTTGATGGACGGTGGGCTAAGTGGTGAGGGTCCCAAAGAGGGAATTTCGTGACCTCAAGGGGCGTGTGGACGTGAGAACGTCCAAACCCACGAAGAATTCTTATAAAAATCTATTTGAGCCAAACCAAGGATACACCGGAAGCAAGGTCTCGATAGAATGAGAAAAATGCGTCCTAGGATGGCAGTTTGGAGCTTCTCCTTTGCATCTGGAATTAAAGCGGGAACATGAGGGGGCAAGGTGGGGATCGGATTACAGGCCAGTTAACAAGACCCTGTGTTCTCGGGGGTCTGAAAAGAGGTGTTTCAAAGGTGAGTTCCACTAGATGCACAGAACCGAGGGGACAGGCTGGCTTCCGGCGAAGATAAACCTTTCACTAAAGAAGTTGCGTGCCTGGGGCGTGACTGCCCACCATGGCCGGCCCAGTTAGGTCGCCTCGTGAGGTCACTTTTCATAGCACCCCTCGTCTATCCACAAGCACCCAGGATGACAGGGGACGGGTCAGGGCACCTCCGGTCCACCCCCAGGACCAAGACGGAAGCAGCTCAGGGCCTCGTCAGGCCGTGAACATGGGTGCATCGCATCGTGACTGCACCCACAGAACGGGGGGCGGGGGGTGCGCCTGCCTCCGCTGTCCTCCCGTCCAGCCGCCTCGGCCCCCTTCCCCCTTTAGAACGCTCTGGAGAACTGGGAATGATTTAATTCCTCGTGTGTCCAAAAGAACTAGGAACACAGCCCAGGAAAACGCATCTGAGAAGGTTTATGTCACTGCATAGTTTTCACTTTAATCATCCTCTGTAACATCCCGGGGCAAGAACTCCAAAACCAAGTGGGCGGGAAGACCCTTCGCTAACGGCCCGAGCGCCCAACGGACGCCTCTCCCAGCCACCTCGCCTCTGACACGGCGTGGGCCTGATACAAAGCATCATTTCTGCGCTGGACCAGAGACTCCGTTTGAAAAGTAGAATCTGACAGAGCGAAATAGCGTCAGAACATCCACGAGGTAACCTCCACTTTACCTCTCGTTCCCAACATACGGCTGACGGTGGGTTTTTAGACGGAACTGTCCCAGGAGACTGAGGTGGAAAGTGCTGGAAGCCGCATAGCAGCCAAGCCCAAGGAACGCTGGGTAGTTATGCTAATTTATTGTGCTTGAGGGGTATGCTCCCCCCACCGCCCCCAGGGACAGTCTTTAAAATGAACACCGAGGCGGCTTCTGCAGTCTGGGACATACACGATGTGGTTCAACACGCACATTCTTCAGCTTCGGAATCTGTGAACGTGAAGTTCCTGTTCATTGACTCATACGCGTAAAGAACACATGCAAAGCATTTCCTTTAAGATGAAGGGTAGGTGGGAATTGGCTCTTTCCCAGGCTGGCTGTCAGCGCTTCCCATCTGGGGCCAGGTCAACCTGTCACGCCAACCCCAAAGGCCCACGCTCCGTAAACAACACACAAACAGAGCAACAGCTTGCCCGAGGGTGGCTTCACCTGTCTTCTCCAGGTGGAGTCAGGCTGTGCTATTCAGTCCTCAGTACCGTACGCTGTAACCCGAACACACAGGTGGCCGTCCCGGAAGACCCTGTCCCATTGAGGGGCTGCCTCCACCTGGGTCACAGAGGGAGGGGTCTCTCGCAGGAGGAGCCTGTGTCTGCCCTTGGAAAGATCTGGTTCGAAACAATTTCACAACCTGCGGCATGTTAGCATAAATACCAGGCTAATGGAGAACCTGGAATTTCAAGTCATGCAAAGCAAAATAAAAAGGTCAACTGAGCATCCTACTTGCAGCTAGAAAGACACACACGGCCAACCTCCAGCCAGGCGGCCCCTGCAAACCAAGGGGCCCCCCGCAGCCAGGAAAGAGCAGAGGACACCCCCAGCAGCTCGCAGAGAGCATGTCAGTGTGTGTGTCACAGACAGCCTTCGACAGGAAAATACCACGTGCACACAATGCACGATGCACCCCAATGCCAGCCGCGGGGTTTGCCCGACATGTGACGCAGCGCGATTCCGGGGAATTCCACGCGATTGCCCGCCCCGCGTCCCGTGCAGCC